ATGGGAAAAATTCGCTGAAGCATTAGCGACGGTAACAAAGAGATAGGACGATAATTAGCAGGTAAATCGTGGTTATCACCTTTATACAGAGGAATAACCTTAGCACATTTTAAACAATTGCTAAAGTGACCTGTTGAAAAAGATGTGTTAATTGCGTCAATAGAATTTTTAATGCCTTGTAGCCTTGTAGTAAGTTATTCAGCTTACTAGGGTGTAAGACTATATCAGTAATTTTGGGGAACTTTAGCTCTAAGGTTACGTGTTACGCGTAAGTTAACTTACGCCAAGATTCCTTTTGTTTATTATTTTCATTTTCCATTCTAGGTTTAAAATATATACATTTGGCTAATTTCGAAACCTTCCTGTATATGGACCTATATTTATAGAAATATATCAAAAATTCATCATTGCATATTATATATTTTTCAACATAATTTAACGATCTTAAGTTTTTGCAGGAAATTCTAATTCCGAAATGCTAAATTGAAAATCTTCACGAGAGTGTGATGAAATTGATGAAGTAAATCCGGAGAGCAAAAAATATTCCACTCTTCCTGATTACATAATTTGATAAACCTGTCAAAATTACTTTTGCTGAAAATCCTGGATTGTATTGATTTGAGTATTAGATGGATTCTTAAGGGGAAATTCACGTAGAATATAATCATGATTTGATGAAAAATAGGGAATCACGCTGCACACAGCCAGATCTGGATGTAAATTAGTACAAATATAATCCAATATGCTGTTCTCTCTGGTTGGATCGGTAAACAGCAGTCTCATATTAAAACTAATAAGTAAATTTGTAATGGTAATAACATGGTTGTGTGATGAATCCAGATAATCAATATTAAAGTCACCTGTCAAGATAATAAAAGCATTTTCTGGAATTTTTTCAAGTAAGCATTCCAATATTTGAAAGAATAACTGAATAATAGACTTAGGGGGTCTGTACACAACAATGAGAAACGTATTAAGTTTCTTACTGAAAGTAATAGAGAATTAAAATTCAGATTCAATGCAGAAGTTGTTAAATTTATTGTAGTCAACAAAATTGAATTTATACTGAAACGTTGTGTTAATTAAAACCAATGTGCCTCCATGGATGCTTTCAGATCTGCAAAATTTGGATATCGTGGAGTAATTGTTAATACAAAGTGTTTCCAGAGGATACAACCAGTGCTCAGTTAAAAGCACAAGATCTGGCAAATCATTTTCGCTAAGAAATACTTTCAGTTTCGTAACTTTATTGCGTACTTCTTCTTAGCCTTCTGTCTGGACATAGGCCTCTCCCAACTCCTTCCATCAGTCTCTATCCTGAGCAACATATTTCCAATTTGTTCCGGCTATTCTTTTAATGTCATCAACCCATCTCATCTGTGGTCTTCCTCTTGGTCGTTTACTTTCGCAAGGTCTCCAATGTTGTATTGTAGTATTCCAACGTTGGTCTTTCTGTCTAGCAGTGTTGCCCGCGAAGCTCCATTTAAGTTTTTCAATTTTTATTGTTATGTCCTCGACTTTTGTTTTGGATCTTACCCAGTCGTTCCTCTTTTTATCTGACAGTTGTATACCTAACATTGCTCTTTCCATTATGGCTAGTTTATTCATGTTTGCCTTGGTTAGGGTCTAGGTTTGACATCCATATGTCATGATAGGAAGGATGCATTGGTTGAACACTTTGCTCCTTAAGTATTGGGTTATTTTGCGGTTCTTAAGTATCCAACTAAGTTTTCCAAATCCTGCCCATGCTAGTCTTGCTCTTCTAGTAATTTCCGCACTTTGGTTCTCTTTGTCAAGTCTCAGGATTTGGCCTAGGTAGATATATACCTGAATTTGTTCTATCTCACTGCCGTTTATATAGTTATATGTCTGTGGTCTTCTGTGTTTGTCATTATTTTTGTTTTTTTTCATATTCATTTTTAGGCCGACGTATTGGGAGCTGGCTGCTAGTTCCCCCAACATAATTTGCAAGTTATTCGAATGTGCTCGCTATAATCACTATGTCATCAGCGAATCTGAGGTGGTTTAACTTTTTGCCATTAACGTTAATGGCATAGGTTGACCAATTTATAGTTTTAAAGACATCTTTTAGGGCTAGGTTGAAAAGCTTTGGCGATATTACGTCTCCTTGTGTCACTCCTTTCTTAATGGGGATGGGATTTGTATTTTCGTCTAGTTGTACTATCATAGTTGCATTTTCATGTTGCGTACAGAACATGTTTTATAAAGTAATAGAAAATTTATTAACGATATTAGATATACTGGTATCCAGTTTATCACCTACCAGACTTACAATATTATTTGTTATTTTTGTGTCCTCTATTATCAAAGATTCTATTTGATCCTGGTTGAGAGATACTAATTCCTTTCTTATCTGGGAAGACCTTCAAAAAACCTTATTAAACCGATTCCTTTGGGCCACGTAGATTGTTTATAGATGTGATCTTTGTATTTTTCGCTAATCCCAAACATAAAACACTTATTACGGTTTTTCTCAGTCGGTAGTTCTTTACAACAAAAAACCAAACTTTATGCTCGACACCAGACTCCTCATTTTGTCCAATATTCTTCTTCATAACCCTGTTTGGTTTTCTTTTCTTATAATGTACAGTTCTAAAATCGCTCAAATCCTGCACATGTTATTGGGCATCGGGAAATTATTTTGATATTCGCTTTCCACCTGTAGGTTAGGTGTATTTGTTGAAAAGTTATTTGTTTTGTATACAAAATTGTCAACATCTGATTCAATTGGTTGTTTATATTTATTTTCAATGTTTTTATCTTCTGAGTCATGAGTTTAATTGGTATATTATTTTTATCTTTGGTGTGATAGGTTTTTAAATCAATGGAATGTAATAATCATATAAGCCGAATGACAACAAATATAGTAGTGTTCTGAAGCTATTTTCTTGTGGCATTGTAAATTAATTACTATTAAACTGGGAATGAGCCACAATTAAAGATAAAAATACGTTTATTGACGTTTCAATTTCCACTTCGGAAATCGTTCTCAAAATACAAACAGTAAATTAAACAAATTTTGTTTTTTGTTACATAGTGAAAAATTCTTCTAATAATTTAATTTTATCTGACTCATTTATATTGACAATTCAGACATACATTATGCATTTTAAAGTAGACGACTTTAAAATGATATTGCCAATATTGTTGAGTTGCGCTCCTGGGACGACTTTACTTATAAGATAGTTCATTCGATTACATGAAATCAACTTTAACTTGAGAATATCCGTCAAAAAAAATCATAGCATGTAATTCGTCTTTAAAAAGACAAACACATGACATGATGACAGTAAAATTCTCCTGTTAGTGATTTCCATAGTAAATTATGAGGGAAAACCAGGAAAAAACCTCATAATACTATCCCGACATTGTAAGTATTTTTTCGTGAATTTAGTTTACCTTCAACAAACATCAAAATTCTGATTTTATATGTTACGTTATTTAAAAAACATAAATGATGTATATTCTATGTTATATATTGGATATATATATATATATATATATATATATATATATATATATATATATATATATATATATATATATATATATATCAATATTGGCAATATCATTTTAAAGTCGTCTACTTTAAAATGCATAATGTATGTCTGAATTGTCAATATAAATGAGTCAGATAAAAATTAAATTATTAGAATTTTTCACTATGTAACAAAAATTGTTTAATTTACTGTTTGTATTTTGAGAACAATTTCCGAAGTGGAAATTGAAACGTCAATAAACGTATTTTTATCTTTAATTGTGGCTCATTCCCAGTTTAATAGTAATTAAATATAGTAGTAAAGATGGTTCCCCAATAAGAAGACTACGAAAACGATGGAACAACTTAATGGAGTACACTGAAAAACAGACAGCCATGCGTACATATAAGGAGGAAGTATATTTACCAAAAACTAAGTTTTATATAACTTCAAACCTACTAAAAGGAAAAAACCTATCCAGATGGGTAACTTTTAAAATCAGGACAGCTTTGAAAAGTCATCCCAAGTTTTATATTACTGCGTTTTTGCATACGACGGCAGTATTCTTCTCCTACTCTTTTTAACAGCTTTGCAAGTTATCGTTGCCATTTTGGCGCTATCCCCAGATTTGATCCTTTTTTGCAAATCCACTCATCAATTGACACATTCTCATTTCCGGTAAATGCATTCATTGTTCTTCTTTCTTTTTAAGTGCCAAAACATTTAGTTTCATAATCATAGCTTGCCTTATGCCAGTTTTGCAGAATTTTCCTTTGTCTCATATGACATTTGCATTCGTCTTGAAGAATAAAATAAGCAAACAACATCAATGTTAAGAAATTTTAATCTGAGAAAGTTGATGATATAACACAAGATCAATAAAAAACAATAACTTAATCCATATGCATTGTTAACACCCTAAAACTACGACATTAGGTAATAATGGATGTACAAAATATAATCATTGAATTACATTTTTTTAACAATTTCTGGCTGCTACTTTACCTATATGGTATTTACAAAGGTGTACACACTAACTAACATATCTTTTCCGTAAATGCTTACAGTTTTTAATGTAGTTTCGAAAGACAATTGAATAGAACAAGATTTCCACTAAAACCACTATTCACTCATCAAGCAACTAATGTTTTTTTTTTATAAAAAATAAACAATATTTAGTAAATTGTACCATACAAAATCGCATTTTGAGCTGGAGCTGTATCTACACCATCCTCAATCTCTATAACACCCTCATATATCTATATACAATACATTCGCAGTATATTTGTTTATATCTTTCATAAAAAATACTTTTCATGCATTGATAAGTGAAGAACTACCTTAGTCAGCATCTTATACTAAAAGAATCACCCCTTCTACCTTTGGAATGTCGATTCATACAAATATCTTCAATATTTTACATATAAAACAGTATTTACAGCAAAAATAGCAAGAACGATCATTTTTATATAAATTTACACTTACATTGAAAATTATTTTGTACTCTCATCAATGAAGAATAGCTGCAGAATCAGCTGTTTGTTTCTAATCTTAATTTCATGCCACAAATATCAAAACTACATGTGAGATTTCTTACACTAAACGATATACATAGAAGTACTAACATGAAATAATTGTCACATGTATGTGTTGATACTAGTGTTATAAAATTTACATTACTGTGAGTCATACCTCTACATAGCAGAGATGTAACATATTTTGATTTATTCCTTTTGAATTAAAGAAAAAATTGATCTACGATCAATTTATAAATATTAAAATCATTATTAACGTCTCAAATGCACTGACAAAGTTTTATTAATCAATAACAAAGGAGATTAGGCCACTACAGAGCATCTAAAATGAATTATTAATAATAAAAATGGAGCACAACAATAAATGACCAATTAGTTTTTGAAGATAGTTATTGGAGAACAGGAGACATTTGAGTAAGAAGATTATAATCAAATACACTATGATTTTACTTGCTATACTGGTAAACCTGCACCATGATATAGTTTTCAAAATATTCACCTTTGAGTATTTATTTTATTTGACGACTATAAACACCCAAAATTTAAAACGGAAGCATCTTCCATGAAGTAAAATTTTCATGCGTTTAGAAAAATCACTTAAACTAGCATAATTAATTATAGATCATATTGTAGTTCTGATTGTAGGAAGTGATTAATGTGTCCTTATATAAATTCCTAAGCAGAATTTGTACCTCTTGAATAATTTACACACCTAAAATTTGACTAAATCTTTCTTTTTCAGCAAACTAATAAAATATTTACATCTTATTGCTTATAAATCTACATAAGAGAAATATTACCTAGACAGTCTTCCTTTTATCAGAGCTACAAGAATACTCTTATCTTTTTTCTAAAATTCTACCGTGAACAAGTAAAATTACAAAAAAATGATCTCGTAAGTTATTATGTTACACCTTTGTAAAAACACTATCATAAAATTGATTTATTTTGCTCGTATTTGCGCAGGGAATCGATCATTCAATTTAGAATTTTTCAATTGCATTCAAAAGGGATAAAAGTATTTATTAAATTTTTTTAATTTTCTTCTGTAAAGTATGAAACCACAGCCAGGGGTGATGACTTTAACAAAAAGTCTCTTCTCACCAAGTTGGAGACACTTCATTGGTCGGTAATAAAAATGTTTTTATATATCACTACATATTGATGATGCACACAGATTGGGTTTAGTTCTCACCATTCCCCTCCTCCAATTTCCTCTTCGTTCCCCTTGATGCTGTAAACAAAAGACTCTCTTAAGAAAGAATATACAATACAGACATAAAAATTAACTTATTACAACCCAACAGCCAAATATTTGTTATCAATTGTTTTACTACAAATTTTTAGACTTGTTTAGACTTAGAATTGTTTACTTTTAAGTACTTATAAGGCAATAATGGGGCCCATATCCCACATAAACTTAAAATAAAATTGTAAACATAAGAAAGATGGGAAATATTAAATTTCTGCAAATTCCTTTTACTTTTTTCCTATTTAATTTTCTTTTAGAAAAAAAAGTCATTGTTATTGTAGCTATGGACAACACATAAGCAGGAAAAGCAATCTAAACTGGAGCTTCTTATTAAGATTGTTATTAACACAATTTGGAGAAAAACAGACGGAAATGTTTTGCGAAACTTAAAAAATAATTAAGTGTGACAGAAATACTGTACTTACATAATAAATGAATTTTGTTCTTTATAGAGCAAAACTCAATAGATCTTTCACTCTATTAAGCATTTTTATTAAAAAACATTTAACTTACCATCTGCAGCAACAACTACAGCCACATCTTCATCATCAGAGTCCTGTTCATCTTCAAATTCCTCTTCAATGACATAATCCTCACCCTCTTGCTCCTCACCAAATTCATACTCATCATCATCATCGTCCTCCTCATCAAATTCATCATACACTGACGATAGACGGATATCATCCTCTTCTTCATCTGAAGACATGTCACTATCATTTCCATTTCGATTAAGATCCTCATCATTCTCTTCCTCCTCATCATTCTCTTGCTCCTCATCTTCTTCTGCCTCTCCATCATGTTGATCATAACTATAATAACATAAACATTATATACATTTGTTAAATGGAATACAATCTTAAATAATGCTTACCCATCTAAATATTTAAGGCTAGGAATCATTTTGAAAACTTTTTCTCTATAGTTTTCTACTGATGTTGCTTCACAGTTGAACAGGTCCAAATTTTTGAGGTTCTTCAAATTCTTAAGTGGCTCTAATGTCTCCAGATCTTTGATTTTATTGCCACTGAGGTTGAGAGTTGTCAATTTTGGACTAGTTTCTAGCAGATTTAGTCCATTTGCTATCCTAAAATTAATAAAAGCTGTGTAAATGGCCCAAATATTGGTTTTACAACATACAACTCTCTTTAATGACAACATATTGTGGTTTATTGTTTGTAAATAAATGGATAAATTACCTGTTGTCACTTAATTCAAGTTTCTTTAGATTTGGGAGCTTAGGGAAGCCTTTAAGAGAAGTCAGCCCAACATTGATTAGAGAAAGATTTCTCAGATTTGTGAATTCATCTGTTAATCCAACTATACTGGTACTTCTTGAGTTATCTAAGATTAAGTCTTTAATCTAAAACAAAACCAACAGATTTAAGCAACACATCAGGTATAAAATTGCTTGATTAAACAAACTAATGTGAATATTTGCACAAATCTCGTAACTTTATTCACAAGACGCATTAATTTATATTAAACAACATTAATATTGCTTCTTCATCCATGAATACATGAGCATAAAAGTCAACAAGGGAAAAGATTGATGTTGTAAATATGTACTCAATATAAAATAATGATCAATCTCAACACCACATGAAAATGCACCTAATCCATAACAAATGGTGACCATTCCTAACAATAGCACAAATGAACAATGATACATTTAACACCAAACCAAACATCATTAAGGTATAAAAGTAGAAAAAGAAAAATAATAAAGTTACTGAAACATTTTTTGATGCTACCTGATCATTTTCTAGGGGTCTAAAGCAAATTTAGCCATGTGATGAAGGAAAATTAAAATTTTTATAAATGTTAAGTCAATGATAATTTTACTCAAGCCAAAGAATTTTACATGGACTCATTTAATTAGGTTGTACATAATATTGTATGGATTTAATTCTAAAAGTGAATAATTAAAATATTAAAACTTTTAACAAAAATGAATCTTGTCAAGAACATGCTGTAACTTGTATGATTCTATTTAAATTACTTTAAATGGCCGAGAGAGATTGTGGATCAAACAAAAATGTCAACAGCATCCTCATTTACTTTTCAGAAACGCATGTTGGGATTTATTGATATGAATACATACTAGCCCATGGTGGTCACTTATATCCTTGAAATATGGCATTTTACACTCCATATTTTCGATAACTTTTTATTAGATAACATTAGAAGTGTTAATTTCTCAACGGAAGTATATTTCTCACGTTTTAAGTGTGAAAAGCCATCAAATGAGAGCATCAAAAATTATAACACACATTTTCGACATGGTGGCAACCTTACAATATTTTCACATTTTTCTGCTAAAGCGGTAGTTGAGTACCATATTTTTGTCTAAAACCTAAATTTGCAAGAAAGATTTATATCGTAAGATCCTTATTACGTACTAAATTTTACCAAAACGCCTGCCGGCATCGATGTAAATCTTTTTAAGCAGATGAATGAAAAAATGACGACACCTCAAGAGTGTTCACAACAACAAACATTCGAAAAATACTTACTTCCTCAGGATCTCTGCCCCGTTTTTCCAATTCTATGCGTTTCTCCATTCCAAAATCGTTTCGTTTTTAACACAAACGACACAAAATACACAAAAAAGGAGCCAAAAACTTTAAAACGTAACCTCGCTGACAAAACTGAGCTTTTACAAAACTCGATCAAGAACCGCGAAGAGAGCGAAGACAGAAAAGCATCGATTAGCCACCAAAGCGTTTTGTCAATGCAGCACTAGAGGGGTACCTACAATAACATTATGGCCGACAGTGGCGGGAGAATTATCGACCAATCAAACAACGCGATTCGTTTACAGGTTATCACAACTAGTTTATAAAGTTGGTGTGAAATTTTTGGTTTTCTATCAAAATTTGTCTCCTAGTAATAAAAACGATGTAAAATATTGATCACAATGAATAACAGATTATGAGTCTCTTAAAAATGCTTTTAGTTACATGTCTTCCTAATAAATCTAAAATTTGAATATATGAGGGGCGTTACCGTATTAACGCGCCAAATTTTAAATGCATTAATTATTTTTAATTAGATCAATTCAGTTCAGTAATTCTTGGACTATTAAGTCTAATGCAATATAATATCAATGTTTTTTAGCAATATATTATAATATATTTAATAATAAAATACGCATTTCCATACAGGAAATGAAAGAGAAAATGTAGGTCAGTAACAGCATGAATCTAGATTAGATTTTCCATAATTGTACGGTTATCTGTAAATTTCGTTGGGTACCAAAATTGTCCACAAAAATAAGGAAATCCTTACGAATTTACAGATTACTTTAAATATGAAAACTTACAGTGTGTATTAGCGCCATCTGTAAGCAGTTATTATCAACTAACACCATATATTTATCCAAACCAGCGCTAGAAAAATAGCAGAAAACTACCTGATAAAATGGAGCGCAGACAGAGGACAATATTAACAAAATTAGGAGTTGGTAGAATGAAAATAATGTTGGTTATTAGGATATATTATCTAAATATGTATATAATTAACAGTCAAATAATATATATTTTACTATTACAAGTTTGACAAGACAAAGTTAGCAGAAAAAACTTTCTATTGAATTGGATGTTATAAATAATATACAAACAAACTGCAGAAAACTCAATGCTAGGTGCAGAAGAAATAAAGTATTAGTTTAATGCAAATTACTAACTACAATAAAATCTTCCCGAATTGAATAAAACCAAGAAAAATAGTTCTAAAATTTAAAAATTAATATAAATCTGGTGGTACATTGCGTATTTGAAGTATGCTGTAAAATATAAAAGCTTTACTGCAGTCAGTAGACCGATAGAGGGAGCAACAATACTGAAATTATTTTATTTTAGTATCTACTATTTTCGCGTTTTTTAAAATCAAGGTATACACTGCCCTCCTTTGCCAAAAGGGAGTATCTCAAAAAAAAATAAAAATTTTCATAATTCACACTTTTGTTATATTTTTTTTTCACTATTCACACTTTTTTGCTTAGTATAAGTGATAAATTTCACTAATCGAAAAGGGCATTTCTATCGAAAACAAATCAGTCAGTGTGATATCTTTTTAGTGCTAACATTATTAATTAGTTTTAAAGGAGTTTTCTGAACACTTGAAACTTAAACACATTTAACTTAATAAAGTACAGAAACCAACAATAGGCTGAATTCAATAAAGATTTAATTAAATAGCAAAACTTTTTTTATTAAATTGAAAAACTTATTAAACAGCCCTTTTTCAAAATGTTTTACACACTTATTTAAAACAAAAAAAACTTTTCCACAAATTAACAGTTCCAATCAGACACTGGAAGATTTTGCCAAAACTTCATCCGTGGTTTTCCCATGATTCCTCCCAGGTTGTTGATTATGTTGTTCTTATTTTCAGTAGTTATTCCTGTATAAGTTACTTGAGACTTCGGTTTAGGGAAAATGTATTTTTTTATGATTTTTGAGTTTAGCAAATTGACTTCCTTGTACCCCTTTTCATCAAAGTCATTTTTGTATTTAATTAACTGTTTACCTCTTGAAAAAACTACTTCTACCATGTCATCATCGGGCAAAAAGACAAAAGAGGGAATCTAATCGTTATGAAAAGGATACCAAAAAAGTGGCCTGTAGGATGTCAATGCCGATTTTAATATTTTTGGGTAAGTGATTCTTGTTTGAAAATTTTGTTAATTAATCCTACCAAAATATCCAGATTTTCATCATTGATTAGTTTTAATACTGACTTGATATTTGCTCTAAATTAGGTAATTTATTGGTTTTCATCGATATTATTGTATAAATAAACTTTGATTTAGTAATTTGGGGTATACCGTTTCTTTTTGGATTTAATTAAGTGACATTTCCTTGTATCTGATAATAAAATAAATTCTGTATGGATCCTTTTTAATGAATTTTTGTTCGGTCGCCGAACATTAACATCTATAATTATTGTTGTTAAACTGGGTAATAATTCGTACAATTCTCAATAAAAAAAATTAAAAGATCCACCACGTAAACCGTTTAACAAATTTCCAATTGGCTGGCAAAGAAAAGTTTCTCCAAAACGATAAAAGCCAAGACAAAAAACAAAAACCTCAAATCTAAATCATATCCCTGAATCGATTATCACTCCCTGAAGATTTCGCACACATCTACCAACTTTAAAATCCCGAAAATCCCTTCTTATTAAAAACCCCCTAACCGTTTCCCAACCAAATCCCAGTTATAGAAGTTGTTTCGTTTCCCAAAGCTCTTGACGCGAGGATTTTAGAGAGGGGGTTACGAGGTGAGGACTCTTGAATGCCGCGTTAACTGAAGGTTGCGCTGATTTTTTTTTAAGTTGTATATAAATTTATTCACAATATCTCGTGCTTTTTCCTTTATATAAGTGATCTTCGTGTAGACACATTTTTTATATATATCATACAATCTTTTTATAATGCCCCGTTGCTCTAATTTGTCTTAATTTCATAACATTGAGCTACTTAAAAAATCTTAATTGTAGCTTAATTATATTCAAATCACTCTTACAAAAGAAAATTCAAGCCAGTGGCGCACCCAGAATTTGTTCAACGTGGGGTTTGAAGGTTACGCTAACCTCCATTTTGAGTCCATAAAATTTGGGTTTTATAGTTGAGCCGCTGAAAAGATGGAATGATCACGTGAATGGCACGCACTCTTAAATATTCCTCTCCCTATGTTATCACTTTTTCCACGTTTACACTACTCAACAAAAATGAACTAGCACTCTCGCTATAATATATTTATACTGTTTTTTTACAGGTTATTGATTTACATTAAATTTAAACATTTTCACAAAATTAACCAGCCATTGAAAGTGAAACACAAATCATGATTCATAAAACATTTAAGTTATAGTATCATGACACAAATAATGACGGTGTAAACAGTTTCTCAGAAGGTCTGGTTTTGACCGCCTGTCGATGCTTGCATTGAGTGATCATGCGACCTTGGATTCTATCTTTTAAGCGGCCAGGGTATAGTTTAATTTAAATTACTAAAGATAGCAGTGCCAAAGATTCAGGTATCTATTATCCTGCCTATCAACTAAAACCATCCTCTCTTACTTGTGCGCAGTTGAAAGTTGCACGTACCGTACTCCGAAATTGGAGTGACCGCTATAAGGTGACTAGATTTTTGGAACACTCCCTTCTCTTATCTAGATCTTATCTACTGTTCTGAAGCTATTTTATTGTGTCAATTTAAAGTTATTATTAATTTAATGAGACTAAGCTACAATTGAACCTTAAAATAAGTTTATTGACGTTTGACATTAATCCAACTTGTAAATAAAATACATTTTGGAGACAGCTATCGCCGTATTCCCTTTCTTCATCGCCAAACCTTCAGGTTCAAGGCATGCTCCTCCTCCAAACCTCTCGATTCCATCGCTCTTCTAATTCCTTCACTCCATGAGTGTCGAGGTCTACCTCTATATTTTCTTTCAGAGTGCTTCCATTTGTGAAGTTTTTGGGACCAACGTTCGCCAGGCATTCTCAGTAGGTGTCCAAACTATTTTGAACCTGCTCTTTTTATGCTGTCAATAACCGTTTCTGTAGCATTCATGTTATTTCTTATAGATTCGTTGGTCTTCCTTTCCTGCCTTGATGTTCTAGCACTTCTTAAATAATCCATTGTAACTGCCAATAATCTTCTCTTAAGGTCTGCATTAATAGCCCATACTTCAGAGCCATAACAAAGAACTGATTTAACCATGGTTTGCCCTATTCTTTTTTTGTTCATTTTGGAAATGTTGCAATCTCAACATTCTACAATTTTACCTTTACCTTTTACCTTTACTCACCTTTTACCCTCCTGCTTCTGCTATATAATGTACTCCCACAATACGTTATATATTGCCGGCGATTACGTGACTTATGTAAATAAAAGAAAATACTAATTTAACTTATATTTTGAGAACGATTTCCGAAGTAAAAACCAAAAAGTAGAAATAAATTAATTTTCAATTAAAATTGTATTTATACTTCCCATTAAATATACCTAGTTCCAAAAGTGTCACAATAAAATATTTTCAGAACCAAATTTATCGAGAGTTACACCAATTGCATGCGTTGCCTTATAAAAAACCACCCCTTTCAAATGAAGAAGCCGGTGTGTGCCGCCCCCGTGGCTTGTTCCGCAAGCAGTTATATCTGTAAAAGTTACAAGGCAGAACACCTTCGGAATGCGAGAGCTTTCATAAATATCAATCGCAGCCATCCGTGACCACAAGATGTATACGGGGCGGCGTGATCTGAAATTACATCGGAAAGGTAATTCCTTTAGACGTTTTTCGATGACTTTCTAGCGTTTAACAGATTAAGCGTTGAAATTGGACAAATGAGCCAGAGCATTGTTGAGTTTTCTTTTAATATCTCTACGTGTGTACCATGCTACACCACTATATACGTCAAAAAAGTACGCTAATACAATAGAAATAATAGAGATTAACGAAATAAAGTCTTTAAAGTGTTTCAAGCTTTATTTATAATAATAACAGATTTATTTATTGGTTTATATTATAAACACAACCCAACAACAAGTATACTATAGTTTATTTTTATGAACGAGAGAGTAATTAGCATAATTTTAACTGGTACCTCCGACCACTCCATGGGCGTGCTCAAGATTAATTGAAAAATTACTTTGAATAATTGTAAAAAATAAATGAATTATTTCAGTGTTATAAAGTGTTATGTGTATGTAAACAAAAGT